CTATACGGACCTCCCATATACTAATTTTAAGGAAAAGAGAAAGATGCCCAAACGAAAATCAAACCAGAGGGGCATTTCCTTTTATGAGTAATAAAACGTGTGAGTGGTCAGTGTAGGTATAATTCTCAGAAGAAGCTATGTTTTACAGTTTGTTATTATTTACATCTTGGTAATTACGATTTTTAAAAAATACCAGTTCAAATCCAAAATTTGCAACCCGTCTAGGGTGTTTAAAAAATCCAAGCAGGTCTAATCTCAAATGAGGTCGGGAAAGTAGGTTTGTAATAGCTTGAGAGTTTTAATCTGCGCACCAGCTACACCAGCCAAGTTGCATTGAGCGTGAGGTCTGAATATTTCACAAAACATATTCATTAAATGTGGAAGAACAATCATCTGTAGTATCTTAAAAGCTATCTTTAATGGTCTATGCATAAAAAAGACAAGCAATTTCATTCAAATTCAACATTTAAATACATCTGTGTTTTTCAAAACATTTCTTTCTTCCGTTTTGTAAGTGTAAATCTTTGATCGAGATTATTCTCCATTTATCCTGATTTTATCTTTCTTTTGGCTTTTGGCAACTGTATGGTTACTTTGTGGTTACTTACTTACTTATCTTGCTCGCTCACTTATTTATTTGCTGACTAACTTGCTTACTTATATCTTAACTTTAAGCATTTTCTAAACTTAAATATCAGTTAAGGTATTTATTAGGAAAGAATACCTCCCATTCCCTAAGTTTGCGCTCGAAAGGTTAACGCTATTAAAAGGTAAAAAACATTACCTCTTTTTTAGTCCAAGAGCGCATAATTATTTTCCAGAATATTCCTATTATCGCTAAACAGCTTTTGCCAGAAGAAGTTCATTACTTTGAAGTGAAATGAACACACTGCAGATTTTCGAAACAAATCGGTAACAATTCGGAACTTCTTCGAGGTTTCAACCTGAAAGTGATTAAGGTCATCTGTGCGTAAAGCCGCTATGGAGCTCCGCTATAACAACCTTCTTAACAGGAGTTAATTCCAAACTAGACGCTCTAAGAGCGTTTACTCGGGCTTCGTACCACATTATCGAATCGTACTTTACGAAAACGCGTGTTGGACATAATAAAAAAAAATTAAAGGATCAGGATATTTTAGCACAAGAGTTCCGCTTAGGTATTTACCATTCAAGTTGCTTTGTTGAATATCCTCCTAATCCAATTGCAAGTTGCGAGTCTAAACCATTTTGGTTCAAGAATGAAGCACAGCAGTCTACGCATTTTTGGAGAACTTGTTTGCAAAGAAATTTCCAGATCTTTTTCAACTTATGGCGATTACATTGCTAGCAGAAATTGTACGACGTTCGTTTACTGGTCGTGGCGATCCGAGTAAATTGTGCAGCTGAACATCTTTGCCGTGTTGCGATCTTTTAAAACCCTTTTCAAGAGTCATATCTCCTTTGCAGAGCCAATAAACTTTTTACATAGACTTTCAAGTTGTGTGTGTTTTTTTTTTTGCGGATAACGTTCATGAATTTGCGACCCTTAGCGCAGCTTATGAAGAAACATTCAAGCTACATATTTTCATTGAATTAAGGCAGGAGTATTTTTAAAAAGGAACTCAGTTATAAAGGAAGATGCGTCATTCTGTTTTGCTATTTATTTTGGTTTCATGCTCGTCTAGTTCATGTCACGCAACATGATTTTCTTTAGCAGTCAGACACAGTTTTCTAAAAGAATTGGCGATTGCTAAGACTGCTAAACATATTTGAACTACTAGTGAAATAAATTTGGCTAAACTATCGTCAATTCAGATTTTCCTTAGGAAAAGAGCAAGAGCAAGAGCATTGGTTCGTCAATATTCCCGCACAATTCCCCGCACAATCGAAGTTTTAATTTTCCCGCACAATTTGCCTCCAAAATCACACGTTATT